GGTGGGGCTTCTCCCTTAAAATCCCCCTTTACCTCAGATATATGAAGGAAACAATATGGAAATAATAGTCTTACCCATTTTCCTGTAGCCCTTAAACCTTTTTGCCCTAATTAACTATGTAAAGATTGTCAAAATATAATTTTAATAAAGAAAAAAAGAAAGAATCTTCTGTGGCAGGTTCAGGTTTTCCTAGAGCAAGCCAGTGGCTCGCTGTGTGGGAGGCCATGGGTGGCCCACAGTGACCAGTGACCAGGTGCTCACTGTACACACACACACACACACACACACACACACACACACACACACACACACACACACACACACACACACACACACACACACACACACACACACACACACACACACACACACACACACACACACACACAGCCAGCATATCCCTGGGGGGGAAGAGGCAGGTCAGCATACTCGTCTAGTAACTTCCCTCAACATGGACAGTTGTTTTTAATAGCAGACACTGGAGAGAAAACAAACAAAACAAACAAACAAACAAACAAAAAAACAAAAAAACTAGCAAGGGGCTTCCCAACTCGCTATACAGCTCTACCCACTGGCAGGGCAAGCATTGAGGGCACAAGGCAGGCCTGTCCCTAAGGTCCCCACCCTGACCACAGGGGCAAAGGACGAAGTGCCGGACAGGGCTCCCCCACCATGAAGCTGTTCCATGTCTGAAGGCCAGCTGGGCTACACATCCATCAGAGAGACCAGGGGTTCTGGACGGGGCCTGGGAGGGACTGCACATAGGCCCAGGGGGCATGAGCCAATGGCGATGGCGCTACCCAGCGCCAGAGGCTGGCATAAGGGCCCTGCATGCAGCAGTGGGCAGAGCCTGACTCTGGAGGGCTTTAATCAAGCCATATTGCTTTAGGCAAGATGGACTTGGCAGGTGGACACAGGGGCGGGAAAACCACAGAGAGTGCATTTCCGGGGACACAGGGAACAAGCCACCACACGGACAGAAGGTCAAGGAAACTTGGAAAGGAAGACTGCTTCCGGGGACGAAGCCGTCTGCTACCAGGGCTGGGCAGAAGACATTCGCTCAGTGCCAGGACAGAGATGACTGCTGTGTGTCCCCACACCCAGCTGCCTCCGAGACATCAGTGCCTCACACTGGCACCCAGGAACAGCGGCCCCGTGGGGAGAGAGGGACGGTACAGGAAGCAAGGGCATGGGCATGAGTGACTGAGCTCGGATGTGCCGCACCGGAGGCTAGGGCTCAACTCGGCTCCTCTGTCACTCAGGATGGGACACGTGTGTCCCAGGCATGCAGCCCTAGCGGAGACCAGCACCCATCCCCATCCCGAACACCCAAAGCTTCCATACCAGCGCCTGTGTGGTGGCACAGCACTGTTATAGCATCACCTGTGATACTGGTTCAGGTCCCAGCTACTTCTCTTGCAAGCCAACTAGCCACTAAAGCACCTGGGAAAGCAGTGGAGAACAGTCCAAGCACTTGGGCCTCTGTCACACAGGACACAGCAGACAGAGTCCAGGCATCTGAGCTCAGCCTGGCCCAGCCCCAGCCATTACAGCTATTTGGGGAATGGACTAGTAGAGCGGAGACGGAGGGGGTGGTGGTGGTGGTGTGTGGGTGTGTGGGTGTGTGGGTGTGTGTGGGTGTGGGTGTGTGTGTGTGTGTGTGTGTGTGTGTTCTGCTCAAAAGGAAGGGTTTGCGAAGAATGGTTAAGAGCCCAGGGAACGAGAGCTCAGGTCACTCTGGGTCAACACAGCCAGACAAGTTAACAGACCCACTCCTCAGAACCACCCAGAAAGTACAATGAGAGAAGCCGGGCCAGGGCTGAGCACCTGTGGGCTGTACAGTCACATCCTGAGACCTGGCACACAACAGGGAGCCTGAGAAGGTGCCGCTGTGACACCACCGCATCTCTGCAACTTAGACTGGAGGTCAAGGACTTCCTCCACCAGCCCTGCGAGCAGCTGTGCTTGAGGTGTAACTGTCCAGACACCACAAAGGCATGCAGAACTCCATGCCAACTGTGGCAACTCGCAGCTCTTCCCCTCAGCCACATCCCCCGGGCGCTGCCACTTTTCCCATCTAAAATCCTCTGCTGTGCCCAGGGCCGAGGGACAAGGCCCTCTGTGCTGCAGCCCAAAGCTATTTACCATCCTAGCCAACAACCTCGTGACCAAACTCTCACAAAGCCCTATCTGTTCACACCACTCGCCAGCTTCTGCCAAGCCTACTGCGAGAATCCCCGTCGTCTGCCTGCCGGCCCCGCTGCCTGGCCTAGGCTCCCCGTGCTCCCCGCCCCTTGGCACTGCACACAGACGCCAGCTTCCGACCTCCTGTTCCGTTTAACAGCTCCCGGGTAAAGACCGGCTCAGGGTGACTGCCAAGGGGTCTGTGTCAGTTACAGTGAGAAGCAGGTCTGTGTAGCGCAAAGAGCTAAACCAGCTGCTTCCCGGAGCTGGGTTCCCATCATGACTGCCCTGACCCATACACAGCACGGCCACCCTGGGTCTTGGCCAAGGCCCAGCACTTGACACGTGGAGGGTGCCCACAGTTCCATGAGGAGAGAACTTTGTGTTTTTGTTATTAGACACAAGCCACTGGGAAGGTCGGAGGTGGGGAGAGGATGCAGTGAAAGCATCCCCCAACTGTCTGCTCAGGCGTTCAGGGCCAAGTCTCCCAGTTCTCATAGCACACTCGGCGACCCAGTGGCCTCCCTCCCATGTGGAACCCCCGAGGGCACACACTTCCGCTGCTGCTGAGGGCACTGGAAGCAGCAGACAGGCCAGGGCAGCACCGGCCAGAGGGACGGGAAACGGCCTCAGCCATTTACATGAAGCTCAACTCTGAGCTGGGCTGTCTATTCCTACCTGAGGTGGTAAAAACCAAGTCACACCATCGAGCGACAGGAGCCCTGCCAGCAGGAGGCGGGAGGGCGTAGCTGCAGCCAGCCAGGGGCATGTGGAAGTGCAAACAGGCCTGGGCAAAGCCAGACACAGCTGAGCTCCAAGCAGTCTACAACACAGCCAGCTCCCATTCGCCTTGCAGGCGGTACGCGGTTCTCGGCGGCACAAGGATAAACAAGCCGCCCAGGCAACGCAGAGATAGAGAAAACCAGAAAGAAAAACGAGAAGAGAATGTATACAGTGGTTGTGTAAAGTCCTCGTGTGGAGCTCTGCAATAGATTAACCCTCCACCTTGTAGTATCAGCATTCCATGCAGACACTGGTTCTGGTTACTCCACTTCTAATCCACTCCCTGCTTGTGGCTTGGGAAAGTGGGGAAGATAGCTCGGGTCCTTGGGCCCCTGCACCCACGTGGCAGATTCGGAGGAGGCTCAGGCCACTGTGGCCAACTGGGAAGTGAATCAGCAGATGGAAGATCTCTCTGCCTCTCCTTCTCCATGAATCTGCTTTACGAATAAAATTAAATAATTTAAAAAAATTATTTTTATTGAAAAGTCAGATTTACAGAGAAGAGAGACAGAGAGGAAGATCTTCCGTCCGATAATTCACTCCCCAAGTGAGCACAACAGTCTCAGTGGCTGAGCCAATCCGAAGCCAGGAGCCAGGAGCTTCTTCAGGGTCTCCCATGTGGGTGCAGGGTCCGAACGTTTTGCGCTGTCCTTGACTGCTTTCCCGGCCCACAAGCAGCGAGCAGGAAGCTAGAAGGGAAGTGGAGAAGTCAGAAAACGAATTGGCACCCATAGGGGATCCTGACACCAGCAAGGTGAGGGTTTAGCCAATGGAGCCATCACATTGGGCATAAAATTAAATAACCTTAAAAAGAAAGTTTTTATCCCCAGGATTGGCACTGTGGCACCACCTGTTAAACCACTGAGGCTGGCACTCTGTATCCCAACTCACATCTTGGCTGTTGTGTTTCTGATCCCACTCCATTCCCTACCACTCTCACATGGGAGACTAGGCTGAAACTCTGGCTCCTGGCTCTAGCCTCCCGTCACTGTGACCATTCAGGGAGTAAACCAGCACGTGGAAGCTCTCCCTCTGTCTCTCCTTTCTTACCACGCTTTCAAATCAATATTTTTTTTTCAGATTTTCTTTTTTTTAAAGTTATATATAGAGAGAGATTTTCCATCTGTTGGCCCACTCCCCAGATGGCCACAACAGCCAGGCCAAAGCCAGGGACCTGGAACTCCATCTGGGTCTCCCACAGGAGTGCCAGGGGCCCTCAAGTATTCGAGCCACCCTTCTCTGCTGGTTTCCCAGGCACATCAGCAGGGAGCTGCACTGCAAATGAAGCAGCCGGGTCACAAACCAGCACCCGTGAGATGCTGGTGTGGAAGCAGGGTTTATCCAGTACAGTAAAACGCTGGCCCCCAAATGAACAAACCTTAAAGAAAAAGAGACCATATTCCCTGCACTGCAAAATCAATCCTAAACACAGACACACTCATGATCTCCCCTTAGATCCTAGGCACTCACTGCCGAGGGTTTTCCCCCATATGCCAAGAAACCTATTTAGTAACATGGTTTGGGGAAGAGCAATGGGGCCTGAGAGGAAGCGGACGCCTTTTCAGCAGCGGCCTCAGACGGGAACGGCTGAAAAGATTCCAAGACAAAACAAGGAACTCCCACACAGGTGAGGTGACAACGAGGCCATCATCACACAGGCGCCCTACAGGAGCCCTCAGTGACAGAGACCTGGAACCGGTCACCTCAATGGCCAGGGCTGGCCCGAGACAGCACAACAAACAAGGTGACCGACCAAAGACCCCTCTGCACCAACAAGCGCTGGAGAGAGCAGAGCAGGTGCTGGATGACACTGACAGTGGTAATGGAAGCCACGGAGGAGACGCTGTATGGCTTCCACAATCAGCCGGCACCCTTGGCTGCTGCAATGCACACGCTAGAGGGGCAGAACACTCATAGACCCCCAGGGCTGCCCCCCCCCAGGGCAGGGCTGGCCCTGAGCACCCCCAGAGCCAGCTCCTATAGCAGGACAGTGGCTCGGAAGGCAGAGGGGCCAGGCCCAGTGGGGCACTCACCGGTGCAGAACTCCTTGCTCCCGCCGTGGGGCACGGAGATAGGCCGGTAGACGATGGGCTCCGACTCCAGGATGTTCTCATCATGCCGGTAGCGTGCCGGCCTCTCGCCAGGGGGACCCCGGGAGCGGGCGCCGCTGCGCCTCTCATAGGTGTCGATCTCCTCGAACACGGCGGCCTTGTCAAAGAGCGCCAGGTTCCCCTCAAAATCAAAATCTGTGTCTGGGATTTCCTCGATGTCATCCCCGAAGCACTCGTCGTCTTTGCTCTTCATCTGGCCATTCTTTAAACCACTTTTCTTCGGAGTCGCCTGGTTTGGGTGCCTGCTGCTGGACGACCCTGGGGACAAACAGTGACCCAAGTCAGCACCCAGGCACGTGCTCGGTGGGGGTGGGGTTCCCTCGTGGGGCAGGGAGACTCTGAAGGAAGGTGGTCGGCCAAGCGCTCCCCTTCCCAGATCTCTCCTGCACTGCCAGTGAGGAGCCGGTCCCTGACAGCTAGGCCTCGCGGAGGTACAAGTGCAGGGCGGGCATGCGGTCAGCACTGCCTGCACTCTGCCGGCTGAGTCAGAAGCCCCAGCACCTGCCCCCACAGTGTGGGTCTAGCCAGTGGCTCTGTCCCCTCAGCTGGCCAGCCATCAGCCTTCACATTGTCTTCACCCTAAGCGGATGACGGTACTGGAGCTCAGGCTGGACCCTAGCAGTGCAGCAAGCAATCTGTGGCTCAGAAGATTCTAGATCTTGACCCAGCCATACACTGATCACTAGACTGTGGAATTCTGTATGATCTCGTCTTATGGCCAACATGACCTTTCTCAAAACTCCCTCTTCCGGGTAGGCAGTTTCTGCACAGTCACAGAGGCAGGCTGTACTCAGACACCAGACGGGGACTCCATGCAGCCAGCCAGCCTCTCTCTCTGGGATGCCATCTGGCTCCCACACCTTGGTCAACAACAACTCCAGCAGCCATGGGGATGCCACAGACAACACACACAGACTTCCACACATGCACACAAAGTCACCGCTCAAACCCTCCCAACCCAAGGGCCAGGGTCTGAGATGGAGGATCTAGGCACCCCAGGCAGCCACATCAACACATGCTGCAAATTCAGCGTCTTCTTAACACTCAACTGAGGCACAGGAGAAAGCTGCGCTGACAGTCAGGGGAGCCACCTCAGCTCAGTACACAAAGCAGCACAAAGCTCGCCCAAGGCTGGGTGAAGCTCCACTGCGTCCTCTGCTGAAGGCACAGAACCGAGGCTCGCTGCTCAGCAACAAGGAAGAACTGTATGTACGGACAGCCAAAACAGTGTGAGCCAGATCCTGAGCTTGGATAAAATGCCACCGAAATAGGTGAGAGCAGAGCTGGATAAGGAATGGGCAAACAGGCCAGTTCTCCAGGCAGCCAGCCACGAGAGCAGTTAACCCAATCAGCAACCCTAGACCACAGTGTAAACCCACACTGATTCTGCCTGAGTGGACGATGGAGGGCACCTAAAAGTGTTTGTGGACATCAATCAACAGCAGCAAGATAAGCTTATTCTGGTGTAAAACATTTTTGAAATGTATGCCTGACAGGTCAGAAAGTCATGCAAAAGGTTTATCATTAAAAAAACAAACAAACAAACAAAAAAAACTCATATGCACGGACTTGAAAACACTGTACCTAAAGGAGTTGACCGACCACAATCCAGTCAGCAGAGACCGGGCTTCGAGAGCCTCATTCACAGCACTAAGTACATCTGGGCAGGCGCTGCGCGGGGCTGGGTATCGTGGGGATTGCTGGCATCCCCTGTCGGTATCCCTGGGATTCCTGGGAACCGCTTTCCATCCAGCTTCCTGCCAATGTGCTTGGGAGGCAGAGGATGGTGGCCAAGTACTTCAGTTCCTGGCTCCTGCTGTCTGGCTGTTAAGACATGTAAGTGGATCAGAGGATAGAAAAAACCTCCACCGCATTCAAATAACCTTTAAAAAAAAAAAAAAAGGAGTGGGCCCAGCACTGTGACATAAGACGCTAACAGCAACTTTGACATCGTGTAGATAACTGGCTCATGTTCTGCTTGCTCCCTGCTAATGTGCCTGGGAAAGCAGTGGGACATGGCCCAAGTCCCTGAGTCCCTGCCACTCATGTGGGAAACTGAGAAGAGGCTCCTGGCTCCTGGCCTCAGACTAGCCCAGCGCTAGCCACTGCAGCCATGCAGAGAGTGAACCAGTGGATGGATCATCTCTCTCCCTCGCTAAAATCTTTGTCCTTCAAATAAATATAGTAATCTCCAAAGAATCACGGGATCGCTTTTTCAACTCTGTAATGCTGAGGCTGAGTTCGGCAACTACTTTTCTCCCTTGGAAGCATGCTTCCTGTTAGGCCCCCACCAGCAGCAGGAAGTGAGTGGAAGGAAAGAGGAAGAAGAGGCAGCACTTTCCCCTGTCTGGTGCTCCTGCCAGCCTCTCTCTCAGGCACGCACAGATGGCTGCAGGAGCCAGGCCTGGCCCAGGTCCAAGCCAGGTCTCCCAGGTGCGTGGCAGGGGCGAAAAGCTTTGCTGCTTTTCCCAGGTCATCAGCAAGACGACAGGCTGAAGCAAAGCAGCCAGGACACAAACTGGTGTCCACACAGCATGCCAACATGCAGCAGGTGGCTTTACCCGCTGTGGCACACAATGCCAACCCCTCTATTAACTTCAGTTTAATAAGTAAAAAAAAAAATCATTAATATTAAAGAAGTAATTTCTTTACTGTAAATTCCTTTTTAGTTCATCCTTTTATGTGTCACATCTAATGTATAAAATAATAGGTATGGAATAAGCCAACCAAGTTCTCGTCATCATCAGAGAAACATTTAGTTCTGGAAAGTATTTTAAAAAACTCTCACGAATTATTATCAATATTATGAATCAAACATGAGATCTGAAGGCACCATTAGGCCAAAGCACAACTCCTCTGAATAGAGGTCTTAGGTGGCAGGAGAACGGGGGCGGGGAGGGGGGCACGTGTCTGCTGGCCACTGCACTTACACACCACACAAACCGCTCCTGAATTCCAAACACCAACTTACCCGTGAGTATTCTGGTCTGGTACGTTTCAGTATAGACTCAAAGAACACCTGCCATGCACTGGCATCCTCGGTGCTTGAGGGTCAGTGTCACACTGCTGGGAGAAAGTGGCTAATACTTGGTGGGTACTCTGGGCCTGGTTAATGCCAAATCTGTGTTAACCACACCAGTGTGCCAGCGCAGCTGCCTGTTCTTTTTTTCAGGATATGTGGGGGACATATGTTTGCACACTGGCAGATGGGGTCTGGAGACCCACACACAAGCATGGGTGGGCTCCAGGCAGGCAGGAAGGGCCCCAGGCTGACACAGCACACCACCAGAAGACCAGGTTTGGGGATCTTTGTGCTTGCAGACACGGGGGCTGTGGATTGCTCAGGGAAGGGTTCTGGGGATGTGTGGGAGGGAGGACTGCTGAGGAAGAATGTGACATGAGGAGGAATGACTTCTGAGAGACTTCCATCAACCAGGCTACTGAACTTGCAGGTAAAGAAAGGGGCTGAAACTGGGCGGTTTGGAGGAAAACCAGAGGAACTTTCTGGTTTATACCAATGAACCTGCCCATGTGGAAGACCTGAGCTGGGCTGGCTGGTATCAACCACTGCCTACCAGTGCACACAAAAGGTAGCGCTAGGGGCCTGCCTGGCAGGGCTTGAATACAGTACCCACCAAGGAGTGTCGGGGCAGGGGTTAGGCCATGCTAGGCTGGGCCCTAATATTAACCACCATGCAAGAGAACTGGGTCTGGGGGCAGATTCTGTGGGGCATATGTGGGCTCACCACTGTGGGACTGCAATACCCATTGGGTTGCTCAAGATGGGCCAAGCTAGGCATGACCATGGAACTCACTGACACTTATTGCAACTGGGGTTGGGACTAGGCTGGGCTGGTCTAACCTGTAGCACCTGCAGGCGCATCCAAGAATTGAATGGCATGGGCCAGGCTGCAACATCCACCAGCACATACAAAGGCCAAAACTGGGGAAGGGAGTGGACTATGCCAGGCAGGAACCTAGCACCCACTGATACTCATGAGATCCAGGTCTGGGAGTGGGCCTGTCAAGCATACATTTCAAAAATGTTTTACACCAGAACTTTCCCTTCTGGGCTGTAGCTCCTGCTGGTGAGCGGGAGAGTCAGGGCTGGGTGTGGGCCAGACCAGGCAAGACTGTTCCACCTGGGGCCCGGCGCGATGGCGCAAGTGGTTAAAGGTCCTCACCTTGCACGCCCCGGGATCCCATATGGGCGCCGGTTCTATCCCGGCAGCCCCGCTTCCCTTCTAGCTCCCTGCCTGTGGCCCGCGAAAGCAGTCGAGGACAGCCCAAAGCTTTGGGACCCTGCACCCGCGTAGGAGACCCGGAAGAGGCTCCTGGCTTCGGATCGGCATAGTATTGGCCGTTGCGCTCACTTGGGGAGTGAATCATCGGACGGAAGATCTTCCTCTCTGTCTCTCCTCTCTGAATATCCGCCTTTCCAATAAAAAAAATAATAAAAATAAATCTAAAAAAAAAAAAGACTGTTCAACCTGTCAGCAGATGTGTGCGGGCTTCTGGGATAGACCAGGCAAAGCTGGGCCAAACTGTAGCATACTGACATATGCAGAAGTCAGCAAGGGGTGTGGGCCACGCAAAACCAGGCTATTATACCCACCAGTTTGCATGAGAGCTGCGGATGGGGACAAGCTGGACAGGCTTAGGCTGCAATATCAAATAGTGAGAGTTGGGACTGGGGGCCAGTTGAGCTACGCCAGGTTACAGCACCCAAATTGCAAGGGCCAAGATCAGGGTTAAGTCAAGACAGGATGGGTCAGAGCACCCACCAGCATGACCAAGACCTGCAGCTAGGAGCAGGCATGGCAGGGGAAGCTAAGGGGATGCCCCTGCTGTGTTGTGGTTCCCACTGGTGAGTGAAAGAACTGGGAATGGGGGCAGACTTGGATGAACATAGTTACAACATCCCTCAGCATGCGTGTGGGCTATATCTGGGATGTGGCTAACTCCAGCACTCACTGGCGCTTGCAAAAACCAGATGGTTGTGGGACGGACTGGGCTAGGTCTCAGCACCCACTGATGCACAAGATAGTTGGGTATGGAGTGGACCAAGCAGGGCTGGGCTGTAGAATCTACAGTCAGAGCCAGATTGGGTGTGGGCTGGTCTGGCAAGGTCAGTGAAGGTTGGGATTGGAGGTAGGCCAAGTCGACCTGAGCCAAACACCCACCAGTGTGTGCAAGATCCATGACTAAGAGCTGGTCTACTAGGGAAGCTCAGGAACTCCCCTGTTAACTTGCCATGC